GGACAAGAAGAAGAAAAAGAAGGGCGAGGTTGAGCTAGCCCCTGAGCCCGAGCCGGCCCCCGAGCCCGAGAAAAAGGAGGAGGAAGATATCTGGGGTGTGTCGACGTCCAAGAAAGACAAGAAGAAGAAGAAGGGCAAAGACGCTGAGCCAGAGCCTGAGCCAGAGCCAGAACCGGAGCCAGCCAAAGAGGAGAAGAACGACGACGATCTCTGGGGGTTCGGGTCGTCTAAGAAGGAGAAGGACAAGAAGAAGAAGGGGAAGTCCAAAGATCCAGAGCCGGAGCCGGAGCCTGTGGCTGAACCTGAACCTGAGAAGAAAGATGAAGACGACTTCTGGGGCTCTGTCAGCACTTCGAAGAAGGACAAGAAGAAGGGGAAGAAGGGTGCCGTTGAAGAAACCAAGGTCGAAGAAAAGGCCGACGATACGTGGGATACTTGGGGCACCGGCAAGAAGGACAAGAAGACCAAGGCCGACGACAACGCGGCGGCGGAAAACAATGATGATTGGATGAACTGGGGCTCGAAGGCTGACAAGAAGAGCAAGAAGACGTCCACCAATCTCCTCGTCGACTTTGACAACAAAGACGACGAGAAGTCCAAGGAGGACGACTTTTTCGGCTCCTGGAGCACTGGTAAGGACAAGAAGAAGAAGGGCGATGACGAGAAGTCGCTTAAGCCCGACAATATCGAGGAGCCGAAAGAGGACGACACTTGGGGCCTGACGACATCGTCCAAGAAAAAGAAGAAGGGCAAGGAGAGTAAAAACGCGCCCGTTGAAGTCACAGACACGGCCGATATGGAGTCCCGGCAGCCAGACTCGGTCGAGGAGGCCAAGGATGGGAAGGCCGATGATGATACCTGGGGGTGGGGCAGTGGTTCCAAGAAGAAGGGTAAGTCGCGGAAGCAGGCACTCGCCGACGACGCACCACCGCAGGCACCAACGCCTCCGTCAATGGACTTCGCTGAGACAAATCTACTAGACACCAACCCATGGGACGAGGATCCGTCGTTCACTGCGCTTACCCCGGTCAACTCCAAAGGCGCGAAACTGTCAAAGAAGGAGCGCGAAAAGATGGAGAAGGAAGAGAAGAAGCGGAAAGCCAAAGAAGAAGAGGAAGCCGCGGCGAAGGAAGAAGAGGAGCTCAAGCAACTGGAAGAAGAAGAAAAGGCACGGGCCGAAGCGGAAGAGCAGGAGCGCAAGGATACCGAAGAAGCCGATGCTGCTCAGGAGGAGACGGAGCTGGCGGCTCTCAAGGCCAAGAAGTCAAAGGGTGGGAAGAAGGGCAAGCTGAGCAAGAACGAGCAGGATAAGTTCGAAAGGCTCACCCAGAGCGTTGCCAAGCGCGCCGAGGAGAAGGAAGCACGCGAAGCTGAGGAGCGGGAAAAGGAGCGTGAGCGCGAAGCAGCACTCAAGGAAGCCAAAGAACGGGCGATCCGCGAAGCTGAGGAGCAGGCCGAACGTGAGCGACAAGAAGCCGAGGAAGCAGCTGCAGCTGCATCGTCATCGAAGAAGTCCAAGAAGAAGTCCAAGAAGGAGGAAAAGGAGGAAAAGAAGGAAAAGGAAAGAGAAAAAGACAAAAAGAAGGGCCTCGACGTGGACGACGACGACGACGACCTCAAGGGCATCGAGCTCACACCAGAAGAAATCGATGCGCTGCTCGACGAGGAGGAGACCAGTCGCAATGCCAAGGGCAAGGGGAAGGGCAAGGCGAGCGACTCGGCAGCAGCCGCAGCTGAGACAGAGGACGATCCCTTCAGCTTCTGGGGTGCAGCCAAAAAGTCGACATCGAAATCTAAAAAGGGATCTGTGGCTGATAGCTGGGGTGCCACTGCGCGGTCAGGCGAGATTAAAAATGCTGAGTCATTCAGGGTTCTGGAAGGTGCCACCCTAGGGGCGATTGGTATTGGTGCAGCGGCAGCGGCCACCTCGGTGTGGGCAGCCAGTTCACCGTCCACCGAACCCACCAGTCGCGACATGAAGACCAAGAAGGCTGTCGGCGGCAAGATCGCCGATCGCCTCAAGGCCTTTGAGTCAGCCGACGATGACTCCAAGGCCAAATCAGGCTCCAAGTCGAAATCCAAGGCCAGCGCAAAGATCGCAGAGGTCAGCGACATTGACAGCGACGGCGACAGCGACGACGCGCAATCCGCAAAAGAGTCGCTGCCGCCACCTCCACCTCCGCCCCCGCCTGTCGCGCCACCCAGGGAGTCCAAGGAGGATAAAAAGAAGAGCAAGAAGAAGGACAAGGGCAAGGCCGTCATCGTCGACGAAGCGCCCCCGCCCCCGCCTCCTCCACCTCCCGCAGCAGCAGCTCCACCTTTCGCAAGGGGCGCATCGAGGTCTATCCCCCCAGGCGGCTATCCTTTTGAAGATGATGATGATATCGTAGAGGTCATCGACATGGCTCCGCAAAAGAAATCGGGCAAGAAGTCCAAGAAGGCATCGGCAGCCCCGCAGGCCGTCGACGACTCGCCTCCACCTCCCGCGCCGCCTCCGCCGCCCGCCGTTCCCGACTCTCCACCGAGTCCCCCAGGCGAAGCCGTCCGGTCATCGAGGAAGGAGCGGCCCAAGATCAGTCGCGAGGGCTCCTCGTCGTGGAACATGTGGTCAGCGACGCCCTCCAAGGATCCCAAGAAGTCGTCGCGGTCAAAGCCTGAGAAGGAGTCGAGCTCTCGCAAGAAGTCCTCCGCCGCTGAGAAGGGCGAGGAGAGGTCTTCCTCGTCGGATAACAAGAATGAGAAGGTGCGCCCCCGGGAAGCGCCAACACCGGCGCGGCTTTCTAGCGTGTTCGCAAGCACGCCGCCCCTCTCGCGCTCGACGTCCACGCGCGAGAAGCGACATGGCTCTGGCACCAAATCGAGCTCGCGCAGACACTCAGTGGATATGACCAACGGCATCATGAGTCCCCCCCCTGACGTGCCCATGTCTTCCAAAGCAGCCAAGGTTCTGGGTGTCGACACTCCGCGATCGAGCAGCCGACGCATCAAGAAGGTTGGCGATGATGACGAGGAGGACATCGTCATGGTTGGCACTGACGATGCCGAGCCCAGCCCTGATAAGGCGGAGCGCCGCAGGTCAAAGGTAGGGCGCTCGCATCGCATACCCGATGGAGACGAAATGCTGACAGCGACCCAACAGCAATACCCGCGAGACGACGATATCGTCATGGTCGACATGGCCGATGCCACACCCTCGCGGCCCTCCCTGAAGCGCTCCAACTCTAGCGCGACCAAGAAACCTGCCGGATTCTCGTCGCTCTTTGGCGGTGTCTTCACACCAAAGGCAGAGCCCCGCTCAGAGCCGCGCCGCCGCAGCACGTATGCGGTCGACGAGACGGCCAAGCGCGCCCCTGAAGCGCCATCAACAGACCCCGAGCGAGACGCCCGCCGTGCTGCTCGTCGCGCTGCCCGCCGCGCCGAGGTAGAGGCAGCCGAGAGAGCCGCAACCGAGCGCGCGGCAGAGGAAGCCCGTCGCGCAAAGGACGAGGCCCGTCGCGAGCGCCGCAAGAGGCAAGAGGAAGAAGAGGAGGCGCGTAGACAAGACGAAAAGGAAGCTCGTCGCGCTGAGCGTCGTGTCCAGCGTGCGCGCGAGGAGGAAGAAAGACGGACTGCCGAGAAAGACGCTGAGCGCGCTGAACGCCGAAGAATACGCAAGGAGCGCGAAGCCGCTGAGGCTGAGGCTGAAGCCCGTGCTCAACGCCATGAGCGTCGGCGCAGTCATCGGCCGGAGCAGTCCGGTAACGAGGATGAAGACGATCATCGTCGTCGCCGGGAAGCCCGTCGCGCAGCCCGTGAGGTGGAGGCGAGGGAGAAGGAGCGCAGCTCACGCCGGAGATCCGAGCCGGTAGACGATTACGTGTATCCCAGCAAGTCGCGAGAGAATTCGTGGCCGCACTCGGGCACGTCTTCATGGGTGAAGGACCACTCTGACGCGCCGCCACCGCCGGTTGTCGAGGCTCCAGAGGCCGAAGCCGAGGTGGATAGTGACGAAGCCCGTCGTGAGTTGCGCAGAGCCAGACGCCAGGCCAAGTACGCTGAGGCGGGCATGGTCCAGGACGACTATGATGAGGAGAGGCGCCGGAGGAGACGCCGTGAGGAGAGGGAGCGTGAGAGAGGGGAGCGTGATAGGGGTGATCGTGATCGTGATCGTGACCGTGATCGGGAGCGCCGTAACGGGTCCGACGGGAGCGGTGGCCGTGGTGACAGCCGTCGCAACTCGGGTTTCATGGACGTCACCCCGAGGAGCAGCTGGTGGAAGAAGTTGACTGGGAACTAGTCGGTGGTATCCCGGGCGTGGTGAGTTGAGGGCTATGTGTATGTGTCTCTGTACGTGTGTTTCCTTGTCCGGTCGCCGCGTGTTAGTCGATGGACGAGGCCTCATTCCTCTCACAATTTTTTTGTTGGTGTTGTGTGCCTTGACGGTGCATCACGGGGAAGGAGCATACTTGGGTTTGCATGGCATGGCATGGTTGATTGGATTGATGGATGGATACCCCAAATACCCCCCTTAGCGCGTCGTTGTGTTTTGGTCTTTGGAAGGGAGCAATGCAATGTTAGCCGGTAGTTCTTGATTGGGTTTTGATACCACCACCACAGTGTAACACATGTTGTGTCAGTCTGTTGTTCGTATATAGCCTGGCTTTGGGGGTGCTGCATACTCATACTTGATACCACTTGGGAGGGTCGGAGAGGGGGGAAGAGAAGGAGAGAAATACAACATCATCTTCGTGTCTACAGATCGTTGCTTTTGCTCGGTGATATGTCGGTGAGTATCCTAGCCTTTGCCATTTGACGTGACATGCTGCGTGAGCGCCTGAAGCTTGCACGTGTCACCCCCGATTTCCGGGACCCACCCACTCCGGACCGGCCCCACGCCCCGGACCGCCCCGTGTTGAAAACCGCACCATGCCCCGGACTGCACCCGCTATTTAGCCCCGGTAACCACCCCTCGTGTCAACAAGACCGGCGCGTCATATGAGCCTATGGCGTAGTTGGCAACAGTTTGAGTGGAGTAGAAGTTTAACTCGTCGCCCTCCCATCTCCGGATGAGTTAGGCGGAGACCCGGGTGCGAATCCCGGCTCAAGCACTTCAAATTCTTTTTCGCACTTTTGTCAGAGACGCGGAGCATATGCGGGGCCTTTTTCTTCGTTGGGCTAGTTCTTCTTCCTTTGCTGGGCTTCTGCATCTTCACTCCAGGTGTTGGTGTTGTGCGTCTTATTGGATTGCTGTGGTGTTCTTCCTCCGGACTGGGCGCTTCTACCTCTCCGTACTTCCATCCCCATTTCCACTTTGAGATGCCACCACGGTGTTTCTTCGATCATTTCTTTCTTTGTCCAAAGTTTTTCTCCCGTCCGTGTTTAGATTGACACGCCGCCATCCAGCGTAATGCTCATCCCTCTTCTCGACCGTTACGCGGCGGTTCATCTCAACTTGTTCGTTTTGTCTACCCATCTGCCTGTGCTCCGCACTTGCACCCTCAATTTTACTACCGCCATATTCTCTCTTCAATGCTATATCTCTATTCAACTACGCAGTCTCGTAGCTTACTCCTCCACACTTCGACTTGACGAACTAGTGCTGCTACTGTCCTCTATCATCTTCAATCGCCTCTCCTCTCGACATCTCGGCCCAATCCTAGCCAAGATATACAACATCGGCGAAAACACCACAAGAACGAGCGCCCAAAACGTGTACGTCCACCCTCTCCCCATGCTCCGAAGCATAGGTTCGATCACAGCCGTCCCACCCGCTCCGAACAGACAACGAACCAAGTTATTAGCCGCGATCGCCGTTGCCGGGGCCTCTGGGTACAAGTCCACAACCATGCTGTTGAGAATGGAGAACGATCCCGTCACGCACAATCCAACGATATAAAGCAGAACCAACGGCGCAGCAACGTGCGTCTTGGCTTGGAGCACCCACCCATAGCATATCGTCGAGGCTATTCCCGCGATGAGGATGGGGATCACGGGCTGAAGCCTTGCCTTTTCGATGGGAAACTTGCTCATGTCGTCGCCGCGGCGACGGTCAATGGTCATGCCGATGCTGCGGGCGATACGGCGGTAGTTCCAATCGAGGGCATAGCCTTGGAATACGGCGGCGGAGCAGCAGCCAAGGCCGTAGGGGAGGTAGCAGAGGCCGATGATTAGGTCATTGTAGCCGTAAATAGCAGCGAATTCGGTGGAGAGGGTGGCGACAATGAGGATGAAGACGAGGTAGGCTAGGGTTCCGTAGAGGTAGACCAAGGCGAGGTCCTTCTGGAGAACCGCCTTCAAAACGTTGAAAGGGTTGGGGAAGCGAAGTGGTGGCTTGGAGACGGTCTGCTGGGTGTCATGCTGAGCAGGGTGCCGTCGAGATCGTACATAATCGATGACTGTCATGTTCCATCCCGTTGCAGGAACGGAGCCGTTTCCCACGACGTTCCTGCACGTCTCGGGAACGGCCAAAGCAAAGACGATGAGCCAAGCACCGCTGAATATCAGGCAAAACCAGAAGATGGCCTGCCACCCAAGATACTCGGCAAGAATTCCCCCAAGAACCGGGCTCAGGGAAGGGCCGACGTTGATACCGGCTAACAGGATGCCCATGTATTTGCCCCGTTCAGAGCTGACCGAAATGTCGGCAATGACAGCAAAACACAGAGCGAGAGTGCCACTACTACCTGCGCTCTGCAACATGCGGAGCACGAGAAGGGCGGCATAGTTGCGTTGAAGGGCAAGACCAAGGTTGGCAGCGACATATATGAGGAAAGATATGACAAACGCTGGTCTTCGCCCTGCCTTGTCCCCGAAGTCGCCGAAGATGGTAGGCGCAATGGCCTGGAAAATCATGTAAGTCGTCAGGGTGAGGTTGATGAGACTTATCGATACTCCCAGGTCTGCCGCAATCGGATTCAGAGCAGGAAAGTAGATGTTGGCCGTCATGGGCGAAACGACGCCGCCAACGGCAGTCATACCAACGATGAACCTCCTCGTCCACTTTGGGAACGCAGAGTACGGAGGGCCCGATGATACCCTCGCAAGGGCTTCGGGGTCGGAGTTGACGTCATTGGAGTTGGTATTCTGCTCGGTGACCGTCTTTTCACAGGCTGGGTCGGGCACGGCCGAGCCGGCAGCTTCACTTACTGAAGGTGGTGGGGAATGATCCGAACCCATTGTTGAAGAGGGTTCAGGGGATTGAAGAAAAAGCCAAGTCTAAGGAGAGAAGCTACGAGAGTGCAGCGGAAGGCTGGGAAGACATCTGTCGTAGCAGCTTGACCGCTGTATGAAGTGGACTACACCCACTGTTGGCGCATCGCTTGATGGCTAGCCGCATACCGGGAACGCCCCTCGATAAAGTCAAGAGAAAACATGATGGAGCTGGAAGGTTATTCCCGGAGGCTTTGGGCCAACGAGCTGCCCGTTACGCACCGCGATGCGAGTCCATCGGCTGCAGCCCCTTGACTCACCCGGCCTGGGAGGAAAACTGCAAGTTTGTCTCCAGGAGTGTGACCTCTCCCTCTCAACGTGATAGGGCATCGGCAGCGGTATCGGCGGAGGCTTGCCGGGATTAGATTCCCGAGAGGCAAGCGCTTCGCAGCTTGTGCTTCGAGCTCGAGCCTGAGCTCCAACGGGTCCGTTGGGATCATCCTGGCCGGGTCGGTGGTCAATCGAACATAAAAGGAGACTCCGGCGAGATGAGGCATCGATATCGGTGCTGCGGTCTAGAGCGTCGGAGTCGTTGACCGTTGACAAGTCCAAGACATGTCAATCGCGGCCCACGGGCAATGCCGTGCATTGCCGCTCCGCATTGCACAAGGCCCAACCCGCCCCACACTTATCTTGCCAAGCATCCCTGCTCTTGGCAGTCCACGCTTGAGCCACATGTCGTCAGTGACGCTCAATCAGCCACGTCCACAGCTCGCGAACTTGCCAGCTCTCCGCCAGCAATCCTCACCAATGTAAACATCCACCACCACCGCGCCGCCCAATCCGCCTCCAACAACCCCAATACCATGGCGGATCTCACATCCGACTTCAACGCCCTCCTCAAAGCGCACGAAGCCCCTCCCACAAAACCCTACACCCTCTCCCAAACCGACGAATTCCTCAACGAAGCCCACCGCATCGTACGCCCTCTCCCCTCCGGCCTCCTCACCAAAACTAACCCACAGCGTGTGTAAAGTCAACCCTCGTAACAACCCTCCACTCCTCTCTCCGCTCCCTCCGCCAATCCTACCTCTCCACCGCCGCCCCTCGCAAATCCCACCTCCGCACCCCCAGCCGCTCCTCCCAGTCGCAACCTATCTCCCTCACCGACCGCGACCGCGAGGAAATTGACGCCAACGCTAAACGAACCTTTCGCGATCTCTCCGCGCGGATTCGCGCCCTCGAAGACGCAGAGCAGCTTCGACAGTCCACCGAAGCGGCGTTGATCACTAAGAAATATGCACGCGGCTTGGGCGGGGCGCTAGGGTCGTGGGCAGCGGGGGGGATCAAGGCGGAGACGAGGAAGAACGCGGAGCATGTCGCAGCGGAGGGGAGGGCAAGACAACTGGGGGCGCATCGGGAGAGCGTGATATTGTATTTGAAGGTGCAGCTAGGGGAGGCGGTGAAGACGCAGCAGGGGATGATGGAAACGAGGTTGACGAGGGAGATGGAGAAAAGCAGGAGTATTTTGGCCAAGGCGAGGGGACCGGGGATGGGGAGAATACCAGAGATGGAGATGGGAATGCCCAGGAGGACGTCAGTTGGGCAGCAGAGTAGTGAGATGCGGGAAGAAGAGGGGAGGAGGATGGGGATGTATGATATTACGGAAGAGCAGATGCAGATGTTTGAGAAGGGGAATCAGGATATGCTGAAGCATTTTGAGAGCACGCTGGACAAAGTCAGGTGAGTACAGATGGAACGGCTCGTTGGAGTCATGGCTTGAAGCTAACGGTGGCTAGGACGGCGGAACAATCTCTTGTTGAGATTTCGGAACTGCAGAATCTGCTGGTGAATAACCTCGCGACGCAGTCGACACACATCGACCAGCTCGTGGCTGAGTCCTTCGAGACGACTGAGGGTGTCGGAAAGGGCAACAAAGAGCTCAAGAAGAGCACCGAGAGGGCGAGTCCAGCGCGCTACACCTTTTTCGCGGCTGCTGGATTATGTACCTTCCTCGTTATATGGGACTTGATCATTTAGCACTGCAAAACGAAGAGCCATTTGGGCGGGCGAGCCCCTGAGCAAGACATTGCAGGTACCACGCCATCCGTGGGCGTTTGACTTTCCACGTTGTCACAGGTAGATGCGGCGAGACAAGTGCTTCATGGGAATCACATCTGATTACTTCTATTGAGGTGGGATGTTGGCATGCTATCCTAACCAAAAACAAATACTTTTAGGGCCAATCATTCTTCCATCTACTGGGTTCCCCGGACGACATTGTCGACCGCCTTGGCAAAGTACTCGACATTCGAAGTGTTCAAGCCTGCCATGCTGATGCGACCATTCTTGGTCATGTATACATGGAAATCGCTCCTGAGCTTGGCAACCTGCGCCTCGGTCAACCCAGTGAAGCTGAACATGCCGATCTGGTCGGTGATGTGCTTCCACGTGCCGGGTGTCCCGTACTCCTCGAGCTTGGAACGGAGCGCCTCACGCATGGTGATGATGCGCCCAGACATGGTGCGGAGATTCTCCTGCCACTCGGCGAAGAGAGCGGGGTCGTTGAGCACGGTGGCCGCAACCTTGGCGCCGTAGATGGGCGGGTTGCTGATCTCGGAGCGCTGCAAGATGGCAAGCTGGGAAGCCACGCGGGTGGTGGTGTCCGTGGCATCGGAGGCCGGCGCAGCGACGTAGTGGAAGGCGCCGGCACGCTCGCCGTAGAGGCCGAGGTTCTTGGAGAAGGACTGAGCGATGACTAGCTCGGAGCCCTCTTTGACAAAGTAGCGGATGGCGCTGGCGTCACGGTCGAGATCGCCCGACGCAAAGCCTTGATAGGCCGTGTCGAAAAAGGGGAAGTGCTTCTTTGCCTTTATGACTTCGGCAATGTCGCGCCATTGTTCGGGCGATGGGTCCACGCCGGTCGGATTGTGGGCACAGGCGTGCAGGAGTATGATGC